GATTTTTCTTTCCCCTCGGCCCGGGGATGAGGCCTGGATCTTGTGGGGGTTCTGAGGTTGGGAGGCCTCTCCTCGGTGATGGCGTCCACCCTGAGGGGAGGGCTTAACCGGCTTTGGAGCAGGGTGTCGAGGTGGAAGCAGTGGTTGGTTCAGAGGCAGTTGGGGGAACTACTGCTGATAGTGATACTGAGAGATGTGGTGCAGTACTTGGTGCTGCTGGAGCTAATGTTGCTGGAATTGTTGCATTTGGGCTTGCATTGCATCAGGTCATCCAACTGGTTCTGGATGGTCGCCAGGGGGACAGTAGTTGGTTCAGTAAAGGTCGTTTCAACAGGGAGAGAAAAGGGGGTGTTCATGGCAGGAAGGTTTACGGGCACCACTATTTGTGGCGCATTCAGGCTGGGGATCCCATCCACCGGAAGGGGGATGGTGAACTGCCCGATGCACACCACGGGGACTTGAAGTTGTTCCCCGGTGGTGTTCATCTCCATGCCACGTCCGGCATTGCTGGAAGAAGCCATGAGTGTTGGGTTTTTTGGAGAAAAGAGGTTATGAGAGTTTTAGAGGGAGGCTTTTAGAAACGTTTCCCACAGACGGCGCCAATTGATGGTGCGCAATCCTACGGGTCCTAGCTGTCAAAGATCTTGCCTCGGGCTGGAGCAGAAGGTGCCTGAAACGAAGGGGAAAGAGAGTAATCTCCGGGGAAGAACCCAGTGAGTATGCTCCGAAGCTCAAGTTAGTATTTCCTCTAAGGCAAGATAAAACCAGATGGCGCAAAGTTCACATACCTTGTTCTTGGGGGGTAGAGAGCCTTTTATAACCACTTCACGCACTCACTCCTAAGCTTCTATCAGGTCGGGTATGATTACTTCTGTGCTTCTACCAGTTCGGGTGTCATCACCTCTGCTGGGGCAGAACCGCCACTGCTCTCTTTGTCGGAGCCGTCTCTGTATCTGGAGATGGCGGTGGCAGGTGGCCGTTTGAATTGCGACTGTCAAGCGTCAGATCCCAAGTCAGTCAGGATACAGTGTGGTTTGTTTAGTTCGGCGTCCTGGAGGCGAAGTGCTGGAGTGGTGTGCGAAGTGAAGTCTTGAGTTCGGATAGAGGTGTGGCCCGAACTACCATGGGGCAGGCCAGTTCGGGTTGTTGCCCTTTGTGTTCGTAAGGCTCAGGGCCTAAGGGAGAGCTCGGGCTCCTTACGGGGAGTTCGGGCTCCTTGCAGGGAGTTCGGACCGCTGGTTCCTCCTTTCGGAGCTCGTGCCTTGGTGTACTGTTGTGCCGAACTGTTGCCGTTGCCACGTGTTGAGTGGTTACGAGGTTGGGCCAAATCTTCCTTCATCAATTAGTATAAATGCATGAGAGTGCAAATGAGAATTATGCAAGTTTTGGTTCATTTTTGTCGTAGGTTTAGCTTTACTTTGTTTTAGGTTTTATTTCACTTCATCCACAGTGCAAACACACAAAATAGGGCAAAAAGTGAAACAAAAATAAATCACTATTCACACTCATATTTTTGCATCTATGCAAATGAAATGATACCGCAAACAAACCAAACCTAATTTTTGTGATGCTTAGCTTAAATCGGAATACCAACCTCAATAATTGATGTATGCATAGGTATAACAAAAATTTAAAGCAACAGAACCAACCCTCTTTTGGAATGTGACTTTTGTCACTGTTTGGAAACCATTTGCATATCACGATTCATGACCAATTTATGTGCAATCAAACAGCATAAAATAACTTTTTTTTGCAAACCATTCATTTTCTTATTTGTGCTACCAAATGGATCCATGGAAATAAACCTTTTCTGTAAAACTAGTAACTTTTCTGAAACTCATTTTTGAGTAACAACGTTCCAATAGTACAGTTGAATTGAAATTACTTTTTTCTTTTCAATGAGAGAGAGAGAGAGAAACTTGGGTTCTTCAAAGTTCAAAGCTCCAAGTGTACAATACTAGCGGACAGCCCGTACTTAGCACAGGTCAATCTTAACGTCCATAAATGGTTCAGAATATGTGCCCGGCAGCAGAACTTAAAACATTACTTTTCTTCTTAGGGGAATGGTCATTCTTCCTTTCCTTGTATGGAACTATGGATGGCAAATGGTGATGCACAGTGCACTGGACTAATCACTGAAGAATATGTAGAAAGATTCAAAAAAATAAAATAAAATAAAAGACACGTTAAAATAGATATAATTTCGATATTGTATTTCATGAATAAAATAAATTGAAAATTACTTGGATGAAACTTGAACCTATGACAATTTAGAAAAAACAAATAAAACATTCAAACAAACTTTACTATTAGGTGCAATATAAATTTCAAGTATATATGGGCATATATATTTAACTCAAATAAAATGGAATTATATTAGAATGGATAGGAGAGGATCCATAACCAATCCAGTTATAAACAGATAGAATTCGGCTTACCCTTCATGGGATATTCATATTTGGACAATCAGGTACCGTTTACAGCGCTATTAAAATAAAATTTCAGAGAGGATAACAGAGTGCTCCTCAACAGCAATATAAGAATCAAGGAATTCCTTCTCTATGACCAAGCAAGCATCCATGCACTTTCAGTCAGGTTTCATATTATACATCTTCATTATATGAAAGTCCAAAATATAAATAATGAATTAGAAATGCCAGCATAAGTTGCACCATAAGGTCTATAACACAACACACAGGATCGTTACTCAAGCAAAGGGTAGGACTACACAAAAGCTAGCTTGCCTATGTTTTCACTGTCCATTATGAAGGCAACAATAAAAAAAAAATGACAGACAATGCAATCTCTATTTCATTTCCTTGGTAGCAAGGATATCACTGTACCCTTAAATGAAGATTTTCTTTATTTTGTTAACTTTGTTACATGTCCCACTAACATCAACATCAGAAGCACCTTGACTGCATAATGGATGCATTATGGTGCATACTTTGCTTCAATAATCTGCCTCAATGTGTACTTGATCCATTACCAAATCTTAAAAGCCACTAAATAAGAGAGCCTTATTAATCAATCCAAGTGGTCTAAATCCAAATACCCCCCCCCCCTTTCTATGGGACAGTTAATTTTCCCCACTCAACTAAATGGTATTTCTTCTCAACATTTGGACCTTGCAAATAAAGTTTCAATCTTTCTTCTCAAGCCACTGAAACTGGAATGGAGAAAAGGACATCAATACAGTTTCAACCAATTCTGAGCCCACATAAAATTATGCAGAAACTTCTAGAGCAATCTGACTAATCTTCAAGCCGTTCTTTAATTTCTTCGCTATAGTTTCCCCACAAGACTGATTCATGTATTAACATAAGCCCTGAATCATCTGAAACTATCTGTTTCCTTTCTTCTCAGCAAGCTACAAATCCACCCCAATAATGTCAACAAGTCCAACCAGAGAATAACAACCTAATCTCTTAATATATGTCAGTCATCAAGCTTTTCTTCCCATTGTTCCAGATCATCACATCAGAATTAGTGGCAGAGAAGAAAACATAAAACTCAACATGATCAAATAGGGAAGAACTCAAGAACATCAAGAGTTTGCTAAAAGCACTGTAATAATATCTCAAATTCTCAACCATGAAATCCTTGTATTCAATCAGATTAGCACTGAACAAAGATGAAATTGATGATTTGGAGCTGTTGAAGCTTTTGGACATACTTCTTAAGATAATTCCAACTGTGTCTGTAACTTCAACAATTCACCATACAGCTTTAGCTCACTGATATCTGATTGGAGCCTCCAAATCAGTTACTTCTCCCCAG